TGTGTGTGTGTGTGTGTGTGTGTGTGTGTGTGTGTGCGTGGTACCTTGGTGTCTTTGCCAAAAACCTTGGAGTGGAAGCAGATCCAGTGATCGGAGACGAACATCCGGCCCTGGTACAGGATGTCTTTCTGCAGGGCGCAGGTGTAACCTGGCAGGCAGGTGAGTGACTCAGTTAGCAGCTGAGCAGCCTCATATGTAATATAATATTTAAAACAGGGAATATTTCAGCTGTTTCACGTCATCCTGGATCAATAAAGTGGAATCAGACGTTCAGCTCTGACTTGAGGTTCATTTAAGGTGGAGCAGAGAGTTGTGACCGTTCAGACTCACTCTGTCGGAGCTGCTCCTCTTTGCTGATCTCCTTAAATATTTTATGGTACTGACTGTTGCTCTTGGAAAGCTGCAACAAAGAAAACAGCGCTGAGAGCTGACCGAGCGGCTTCCTGTCTAAACTTCACTGAGAAATAAAAAATAATATCACTGAAACACAAAACTGGAAGGAAAAAAATTATAAAAATAACAGAAATTGAAAAGTTTTTACTGATGAATTGGTTAAATATTTTAGTTTTGCTTTAACTGCCAGAAATCAATCCATCCATCCATCCATCCATCCATCCATCCATTCATTTGCTCTTTTCCATCTTATGTGATCACTTGTTCTTTGCTTGATCTATTCCAACATCATTCCAGTTGGTTTGTGTGACGACATTTTAACATTTTGTAAGTTTTATGAAATTCCATGTTATTTATTAATCTTCTTGGAGCAGAAAACGGAGCACTGTTGTGTCTTCAAGGTCTTCCACTATCAGTAGGTCTGTTGTATTTAGTTACACGCCTGAAACACACACACACACACACACACACACACACACACACACTTTTTGATCTCATTCCAGTGACTCGACGTTTTTAGACACTGGCCACTTACATTGTCCCTAAGAAAAATTAGCACCCCTACATTTATAAAAATATAATTTATTTGGGTAGAGAACCTTTTCTTCACTAAGAGAAAACCTTTTAATAAATGGTTCATGAAAATGTTCTGGAGAGACGATATTAATGCAGAAAGAAATGTCTGCAATTCATTACTTGATTGATTAGTCATTAAAAACTCTGCTGCTCCATCATCCTTCTACTACTTCCTCTCGTCTTCTTTGTGGTTTCTGCCAGTGGTAACATCCTGTTGTTGATCATGTGATGCAAAAAAAAGTGTTTCCATTGTAGTTTTGTGAAATAAACCAATTTTGGAAAAAAAAAAAAAAAAAAAAAAACCCTAGCAACAAAACTTTTATTCAAAAAACTTGAGATTTTTTCTACATTTTCTTTTTCCCTTTAGGCAAATTTATTTTTGAAATGTCAAATTACGCAGTTACCTACTCAGTGGAAATGCAGATATTGATCGTAGGCCTGGACAGAACCAATTAATAACCTATCAGACTCACCTGGCTGTAGTGGGACTTCTTCCTGTCTATCTTGGACTCTGGGTCGATCTGGACCTGAGTCAGCATGGAGTTGTCTAAAGTTTTTGACCTGCAGAGATTAGCAGAGAGAATTATTACCCAATATAAAAAAATATAGTTTTATTCCTCCATACATGACTCTTCACTTCCAACAATGCTAATTTAATGCTAATTTGGTTTATAGGTTAAAATAAAAATATATCTACTTTAAATACACATTAACATAAATCCAACATGGAGTGTTGGACACACCTCTGCTAATGAGCTAACTGCGACGCCAACACTGTTTGTGATAACTTTGAAATATTTAGCCATCTTAGCATTAGATTATGCTAATAAATGTTTTTAATGGGGTTTAGTGTTAGCGGATGAATGTTTATGATTACTGCTTTAGGTTTGGGCAGTTGGTGTAGCGCCCACATGCTAACCTATTAGCATTATTGCCTAATAGGCAATAATACACAGATATAAATATAATAGTCATATTTATATCTGTGTATTGATCTCCTTCAAAGCTACATAAGCTGGCCAGCTGCTCATTACCTCAGTCTTTCAGAACATTTGTTTCAGTCCAAAATCTGTCTTTTCCATATTTTATTGCAAAAATGCTAAAATATAACTTAGCCAATATGCTATGAGGCTAACACTGTGGATGCTAATGAATAAAAAACTAGAATAATATATATATATATATAATTTTGTAATTTTGGGGATCCCTTCTCTGTCCCTCAAGTATGTTTAATTAAATTAAATTTAATAACCCATAGTGGATACCTGACCAGCTGCGGTTTCTTCCTGCCTGTCGGCTCTAGTTGCTCCTGATCTGCAGCCTGCAGTGATTCTCCCACCATCCTGCTGATTTTCTGATGCTCCTCCATCACATCTTCATCATCAGAACTGGACATAAACGAAACAATAAAAGCAGAAAATATTAACCTGCAAAGAACCGTTCATCATGCAGCTTTTATGCTACTGTCCATTTTAACTCACCAATCAGCCTGGGTTCATTTTAAGATTCTGTGTTTTTAAAGAACAAAGAATCTTTAAAAGCAACAGTTGCCCCCTGAGCAACTGTTGCTCCATGTTGCTCAGGGGGAGGGAGTGTTGCACAGTCAGCAGCTCAATGCATCGACTGGTTTTCTCAGGTTTAGTTTGTTTTGTTTTTACCAGTTTGAATAATAAATGGAATTTAAACTGGAATGCAGGTAAACTGGAATTCAGGTTTACCTGCAGCTGAATAAATAATTAATTCGCCTGGCAGCAACTAACGGCTGCAACATGAATCCTCAGAGTGGATCCTGAGTCATGTTTAAGACGCTCAAAGCAAACAGGTTTTGTTCCTCAGCAGGTTTTAAACTCATTTAGTTTTTATTTGATTTTTCTTAGTGACATTAATGATGTTTTCTGTGGATTTTCTATATTTTAAAATGTCACGACTTTCAAAATCTTTTATTTTTATCTACAGTTTTGATGAAAAGTAAAAACTTTGAGTGTTGAACTTTCATAGATCAGATTTCTGTCTGATCTTTGCTCTGCAGGAAAGACCAGAGATGGTCCTGGAAGAGGTTCCACCTGGAGGACGGTTTGGTCCACTCATCTTTATGGTTGTGTTCTTCAGAAAAAATGGAGCGGAGAAGGAAAGAAGGACAGCAGAACTAATAAAACATCAATAAAAAAGTTAAAACAGCAAAAAAACGGAAAGAAAAAAATG